CAGGCTGCGATATATAAATTCTCTTATCTTTGTTTTGAAAAAAGTTACTTCTGCTATGTTTAATTCTATATAAAACAATTCTGTTATGCTTGTTTTGAGAGAAATAGAACAGTTTCCAAGTTATAATATTAATCCAAACTCTCTCCATAATTAATCTGGCTATTATTGTGCTGTAATTAATAATTAGAAACTAAGTAATTTGGTATTGAAGGTAGTTGTTAGGCACCATCTCTTATCTAAATTAATAATTTTAATTATTAATTATAGCAACATAATAGCCTAATTAATTACAGTAAGAGTTTGCATTAGTATCAGTACATTGTGCTTTAGGATGTTGTTATATAATTACAATATTTCTGATAAATTACAGTCATCATTGTATGGAGGGGTAGTCCCAGAAGTACCCGACCTAACAAAGAAGACACAAAAAATTTGGTAAAACATATTTTTATTTTTCAACATAGTCTCCTTTTAGCTCAATACACTTTTCCCAACATTGTTCAATAGCTTCAATACCCTGTTTATAGTGAGAACTGTCGAGCTTCTCAAAATAGCCATCAACTGCAGACTCCACCGCTTCATTGTTGGCAAATCTTTAACACCGAGTTATTTTTTTCAAATTTGGAAATAGAAAATTCGAACCTTAACTCGTCGATTTTGGCCACCATGATAACGGATGTGTGAACTAGTGCGTTGTCTTGATGAAACAACACTTTCTTTTTCGCCAGATGTGGCCGTTTTTTCTTGATTTTATCACTCAAGCACTGCAGTAAGTTCCCATAATACTTGCCATTAATTGTTTTTCCTTTTTGAAAATAATCAATGAAAAGTATCCCATGTGCATCCCAAAAAAACTGACCCCATGACCTTGACAGCAAATGGAATTGTCTTCGCCTTTTTCGGAGCCAATTCTCAGTCATTTCAGTCCATTGTTTTGACTGTTTTTTCATCTCAGTGGGAAGTGATGGACTCATGTTTCATCCATGGTTATGAATCAATGCAAAAACTCTGCTTTATTGCTGTGAAACATTGCCAAACACTCGGTTGAAACATCCTCATGACTCTGTTTTTGTTTTATTGTGAGCAAACACAGCACCCATCTTGTGCACAGCTTTCTCATGTCCAAATTTTCAGTCAAAAGGCAATGTACAGCACTGTTTGAAATGCTTTCCATGTCTGCTAGCTCTCGCACTTTGAGTTGATGATCATCCAATACCATTTTGTGGATTTTCTTCACCATTTCTGGCATGGTCACCTCATTTGGTCAACCACTGCAATGTTTGTCTTGGCAGCTCATACGGCCACGTTTAAACTCTGCCACTGATTATTTTATTGTTGTAAATGAGGGAGCAGACTCTTCCAGAGTAGAATGTAGCTCAGCTTTGATATTGATTGGGCTGAGACCTTGCAAATGAAAGTATTGTATCTCATAATGATGATCAATTTTTTCCATGTTTACAAATTCACTGAGATCATTCACTATTGATGGCTGTCAAACAAATACTAAACAATGTAGCGTCTTCAAACTTAAGCTTTATAAGGTTGGTACTTTCGACCACAGTAATCTTTTTCAAGTAACTACTGCTATCTATACGTCAGATTGGGTACTTCTGGGATGACCCTTGTAATTATTAAATTATTTTAAGCTTTTGAATACTTAGTAAAATACTTCATAACCAGTAGTTCATATAATTGGAAATAATTGTTATGCTTTAATAAAAAACTTGTAATGTGTGTACTTTAAAATTTTGTTCCAGTGTTATGTTTGTGGAAAAATTGGCCACATATCTCGTGATTGTCCTGATGGAGATAAAGATGAGCGCAAATGTTACACATGTGGTGGATGTGGTCATATCAGTCGTGATTGTCCACAAGCTGGAAATACTGCTGAAGCTGATGATACAGTCTGTTATCGGTAAGTTATTTCTCAATTACTAATGCCTTTATAGTTGCATCAGTTCATAATAAAAGTTTAGTCATTGTCTATGATATAATACTTATATTTTTGAAATTGGAAATTTGATACTTTTTTGTTTTGGATTTGTAAATTTAACTTCATAAAAGTTTCAAATCTTAGTGTTTTTTCCAAGACTTGAGATAAGAAAAATTTGAAATTTCTGGGGAATTTTGTTCCAGGAATTCCCATTACGAAACCCTTACATTAATAAACAATTTTTAAAGCTGTATTACAGGAAATCCTTGTTAATTTCAACTCATAGTTCAAAAATCTCATTAGTTTGTAACTGTACTATTTTTTCCTGCCAGAAATATATAGATTTGCATGTGAAGGAATTTGGTTAGTTTGAAATATAGCTACTTTGAAATTTGAAGTGAAAAGTCTGTCTGAACTGTGATGTATGTGTGTTAACTTAACTCGTTCATTTAGAGTGAAGTGCCTCCATACTGTAAGAGAACAATAGACCAAGAACAACTCTAATCTGGTCAATATGGCTTTGCTTTTATAGTAACACATTTTCAGGCATCATCTTACTCATGGACTACCCTTTTTTCTCTTATCTCATAAAATATGACTGGGTTTTGGGGTTGCAAGATTGGGCTACAAGTAGCAGATTGTGCCCACCAATGATTGAGTGGATAAAACCACTAACACTGATAGTTGGTCATGAGTTTGTGCCCTACCAACAGGCTGGCCATGAGAAGGTTTCCAGTTCTCTTCACATTAGTAACAGCTTTGGGGGTCAATTTCCCTTAACCTATTCCATGTTGAAATTTTTCTCCGATGCATGTTGCTTCATGTTGAATTTTTATTGATGTTAAGTCTAATGAAAATTATGTGTTTTATAAAAAAAATAATTGTGGCTATTGTATTGTCCAAAATTATTTTTTATTTTGCATTAAAAAAATAGACATAGACATATTAAAAAGTGTAAAAACAAAAATAATTATATTTTGGAAGTTAGTTTTAATATAAAAATTATAACAACTAGCAACATCTAGTGTCAGAAATGTTGATGCAGAAATGAGATATGTCAGGTCCACTGGTCAAGGTCATGATATGTCAGGAAGACTGTGGGACAGTTAAGACTTCCTGGAAAGCATCTCCCTCATGGCAGATCATCCACGTGTTGCATTAATGTAATCAAATAAACTAAATTCAGTAGCAGATTAAGATATATGTACGGTTGTAGGTTGCTACATTTGGGTGACTTACTTTTTGGGCCACTTCAAAAATAATTAATACATTTCGAGGAATTCTGCTTTACTTTTTATGAAACCTATCTGGTAACTTGTGAGGTTTACCAGACACGTCCTGTTTATCTGCAGTTTATTTATATTATTACTATTAACAAAAATAGCATTCTGTATACATAGCCATTCCATTTGCTTTAGCATATTCCATTAGCATATTCCATTTGCTTAATAAGTTACATCAGTTACATGATATTTGGCATATTATTGTACAGAAATATGTAAATCTCGGATAATTTGAAATCCCAATTATTTCTTCCATTAAATTTTGAACTAACAAGGATATCCTGTATTTCATTTATTTTTGGAACACATCAAATAAGATATTTTTCAATAAATTGCATTGGTGTTTACACAAAATATACATTTCTTAATGGTTATGTTTAACATATCCAGTGGCTTTAAATCATCTTGCTAGTTTTCTCCTTTAATTTTATATTTCAGTAAAATTTAGTTTTGTTTTGCTTATATTATTAATANGATTCAGATTTATAAGAGTAAACTGCAGGAAGGCTGTTTGAATGTGAGGGATGCCGAAAGTCTTTCTTCTGCATGGAAGTTTATGGTTAAAAAATTTGCTAAGAACTTTAACCAGTTAAAATAGTAATTTTGTTAGAGGTGTTATGTTGTTTGTTAGTATCAGTATTTCTTAATACTTCTGTGTATATATTTTTTATTTTTTGTTATTCCGTTGGTCATTTAATTTTTTAATTTGAATTTTGTATTCTATTAATGGAATGCTTTAGTTCCAATTTCGTTCTAAACCTGAGAATGGCCTGTAAATCAGGCTGAAACGTATGTTTTTGAAATAAATATATTTCTTGGTAAGGATAAGGTGTTATTTGTCTGTATGGTGATTTGCTGAGTACTTTATCATAACTTTATATAATATATATTATATATTAATTTATAATTTATTTTCTCATATGGTGACTGTATAGTTAGAACAGGCATGGCCAACATATGGCCAGATCCGGCCTGTCTAATGAATTTATGTGGCCTGCGATAAATCTCTCAATATTAGCTACTGAAGTCCGACTAGTTCAATGAAAAGTTCTGACACCTGAAAAAAAAAGGTCAACAACTCACTGTGCATTTAGTTAACCCTCCATTACAAATCTCGTAAGTACAGCGTAGAGTGTTGATAAAGCATGATAATGTGAAAAATATATCTGTAATCTCTAATCTGATCTCACACCACCTCAAAATCTTCCTAGGGCCACGTCTAATTGTAAAAGTTCATAAAAATTGCAAACAATAGGAAAAAATGCTGTTTCTCCAATGTTACCAACTCTTTGATTCCATCTCATGAGCAGCAATGGAATGTCAGAATTCATGAGAAAACTAAAAACAATGATAAGCAATAGAAATAAATTTACATTAATTATTTATTAAAAATTTATTATTTGTTACTAGCTAAAGAATGACTGTGACATCACCCCACAACTGGCAAGAGAACTTCAGAATCCATGTAAAATTTAAATTTTACATACATCATCAAATTGTTCATAAGTTGAACATTCATAAGTAGGAAGCTCCTATATTTAAGTTATATAGTTCAATGTCAAGTGGTGATTGGAGATGATGATGATATGTAAAATGAGATAATAGTGTCATAAGAAACAGAACTGAAACAGAGAAATTGTCTTCAACTAATGATAGGGAATATTTAATATAAATTGTATTGAATAAAGTGCAGTTAATTCAACTTTTGTTATTTGGTAATGGTGTTCTAGTATTGTTAACACAAAATAAAAACTTTACATTGTATATGTATTTTATTTCATCATTTCCAATAAACAAGTACTTTCATTCTGTGAAACAAACTTTATTGAATTGTACTGCTATTAAACAACGTGAAAAAATGGCTATTAAGTTTTCAATATAAGGATTATTTCTTCATAAATTATAAATAGATTTGTAATATATCATTATTGTTGATAATGATCACATTCAGTTTATTGGAATGCTTTCTTTACTGTTATGTTGTTTTGCTCTTCAAGTTGATGGAAATCACTAAATATGATATTTTCATCCTAAAACATGTATTTATAATGCATTTTAAGTTTTATTTTAATTTTGTTGCTATTAAATAAATATTTAATATTAAGTTATATAAGTGAGTAATTATAATAATAATAATAATAATAACAATAACAACACTCATAACATTAAAAAAAGTCTTTGTTTACTTTTCATGCTGTATGTCTAGCTGTTAAAGTAGTTTTAAGATTTGCAATTGCATTCAGTTTTATTAGTATTAAATAGATATAAGTCTTCCTACTAACAGCCACTTGGCACTAGCTACACTTATCTATTCGTGGTGTCACTCAATTAGTGGTGTTTAAAGGGTCTAAAAGAAAACCTGAGTATAGCACACTCAGGTTTTCTTTTAGACCCTTTAGAGGACTATGGCCTTGCAGCCAAAAAAACTTCACACCAGCATCAAACATAGAGGGTACTGTAGCTTTATGTATGCCATTCACAGGGATCCTATCTTTCTGTACTGTATCTCCTTCCCCTCCCCTTTCCCTTACCCTCTTTTCTGCTAGCTAAACACTTCGTGTATGACCAATGTCTTTCTTGTATGTATGTATGAATATTGAGAGTCAACTGAACTGCTTTTTTATAAATTCAATTTTAAAAAATATTTGTTTCAGCAAAATTTCAAGGATAAATTATATTTTACAAAATTATTTTAATAGAATTAATAATATTAAGTATTAATTAAAAACTGGTTAGTAATAAAATTATTTTAAAGAACATCTATAGGAACTTTAAACTCATTTTTACCATTGTTTTACAGCTGTAATGAAAAGGGACACATTGCCCGTAATTGTCGTCCATCTCGCAGCAGTAAGTGCTATCAATGTGGAGAATTTGGTCATATTGCCCGTGAATGTGAACTGAAAGCTTAATCTTCCTTCTGCCCACGTCGCAGCCTATTAGAATGTGTTGGACCAAAGCACTGGAACGTCCATGTGCCACAGCCTGGGTTGGAAACCTTTCCTTGTGGGCAGTCAGCTGTGCGCCAAGGAAGTCCCGAATGTGTTTGATGCCGGTGAGCCGTTTCTTCATGTTGTCAATCAAATTTGTTATTCCTGCCAGTGTGGTGGGGACAGTCAAAGGGACGATGGGAGATTGTTGACTGATTTCCGTCAATGTACAGAAAATAATTATTTAAGGAAACGTTTATATACACAGGCTGCGTTTTCGAAAACTAAATAATATAAAATGACTGAATGGAAAAGTCCAATTCGTTACAGTAAAATAATCCGATATATATTTCTGGTAACGGTAATGAATACCGAATTTCAATTAATTATTTATGTCTAGATTATGAAAGGAGTCTTGGTGATGGTAAGAAATAGGTTAATTTGAGATTCTACTTCATTATAATTTAAAATCATAAAAATATCATTGCACATTTGACGGAACTTGTAGTAACATTGTTCCTTTGAAGTACAAAGACGGGTGTTGGCACTTGTGGGAATGGAAGTTGTCTTTGTTTTTCTCTCCTGAAGTAATTATTAGCCCTTTGAATAATGGAGAGGTAGATGTGCATAAAATTTTGATTTAGAAGTTGTTGTGAGAGAAAATTTGTACATATTTTTGCTATTATCCATTGAGAAAAATAATTGCAATCATTTTAATCTCTGCAGAAAATTTTTGTTTTACGAAGTAATTATGGGAAAAAGTAATAACAAATGATAGAAATTTGATTATAGTATATTATTTTGTTAATACAGGAAATTCTAATTGTTTGTTGACAGTGGCAGTTGTCATTTTAATGAAGTTTGAATGAAGGAGGCGCGACTTAAGAAATGTCAATTTAAAATTTTTACAAAAGTATAGTTTTAATTGAGTCATTAAAAGAATGCCATATAGCTGTTGGTGAACTAGATAATTTGTTTAGTCATTAAATGTTGTTAGTAGTACAAATATTTTTACATTTTCAATTTATAAAAATCAAATTAAAAATAATCTAAATTAGTTTTATGAATTCTAATGAAATGCAGTTAGTTTATGGTAAAAATGAATACATATTTTAGTGAATATTTCAACAAATTTTTGTTTTCTAAACCGCTTTTTGAAAGGAATGTCTTCCGTTATCATATTTGGATATACATTTATATATTTTTTTATATATATATTATTATTTCAGTTTGATCAAGTCATTTATTTTCCAAAAAAATAAAGAAAACAAATAAATTGGTGATTTGGAGAAAGTTCACATGTACAGTGACAAATAACAAATATGTTCTGCTTCCAAACTATCATAATTTGTATACACATAACCATCACATATAATCACTGTCCATGTGTTGGACTCAAATGTAAAGAAAAAGTATATATGTAAATTATGACTTCCGATATTTTAAAAGAAATTGGTTAATTAATTCGCTCACCGTTTAAAAAAATAATAATAATAATAATAAAAGTTTTTTATGAAACATTTGATGGTTTATGAAGTGAAGATCAAGTTAAAGAATTCACTTTGATTCAAATTGCTGTTCTCTTCTGTACATGTTAATTAATTGAAAATCTATTATATATAAATATATATACATATTTCAGTGTATTTTAACATAAGACCAATATTTACATTTGTTACATAAGAAAAAATATACTACAGTGCATTAGTTATTCCATCCACTTCTCTCTATTTTAATAGATATTCTCAATGTATTAGGAGCAAAGATAGTTTTATATTGTTTCAAGAGTAATAGGTTTACTCCTAGATTTCTTTTTAGAGGAAATGGTACGTTCGTATTGTTTCGAATGCACCGAGGTACTTTATCAATTACGGAAATATACACAAAGGATTGTTGGATTTGACTGTTACATGTTTTGATGTATCAAAAGCTATTTTAGAAATCGATTAATTATGAATGTTGCGTTACTTAAAATTGAAGCATGTCCCCCGAAAATATTTGTGTAGTCTGAAATATATTGTTATAATGTACTTATCAGCCACTTTGTCTTGTTTTAAAAATTTGAAAAAAGCAGATTATTCTGTAAATAAGGTTTTAAATGTACGAAATAAATCATTTCTCAAAATGTTTTCATATTGTTTCCATATTATTTATTTAATGCTGTCATTTACGGTTCTGAATTTGCATATTGCATAGTTACAATGGAGTCACGACATGTTCTTTTAAGCTGGAATTAAAATGATACATTGTTTTTTGGATTGAACAATGTTCATTGATCTAAGACTGAAAGCTCATACAATTTTGTAATTTGTTCAAGATTAAATACTGTTTTCAATAAAATTTAGTGACTTCTGCAGATATTATGCATTTGGTGGAATTGGCAGATGTGATTTGATTTCATTTTCTTGAAAATGATCATATTCTAATATGTGTGTAACTACACTATGAAACATTTTGTATTTCTGGACTAGACTGCTTTAAAAAATTAAGAAGAAAAAAAAAGATATTACATTTTTATCAAAATTTTGCACAAATTTATGGTGAAATTTTTAGGCAGCACAACAATTGAGTCCTTGTCCAGGAAAACATTGTATCTGCAACTTTGCTGTCTTGAAAAATGACAGAAAAAAACTGATCCCACTTATGCAGCATACATCATTACCAAACAAACATTGAATTTTAAATATAAAAGCAGAGTGATTTTACCCTTAAAAAATGGTTTAGAAAGAAATGCTCATTTTTGAGTTAAGGAAAATTATGTTAGTAATGATGGAAAAATATATCTGAGGGTTACAATATTTTTCCATGAACAGCAACGGAAAAATTTAAAGTGAGTAAATTTCTTTTTTCATGAATCTTTTCATATATTACCTTTATAGCATATATTGAGAACTGCCTACAGTATTTTGATATACTCTGGATTGAAAATTTTATAAAAGTGATATTTTTTTGGGAAATAACATTACTGGAAAAGTGTTGTTATCTGACTTTAGTATTATTTATTTTATTTCAAGAGTAAAAAATACTGTATTTTACTATAAACATAAACAAACAAACAGTAGCTTTTATTTTCTAAAATTTCTACACTACTAACGACAGCCTATAATGGGTTTTTCCTCAGACTGCATGCTGAGTTCTATGGGGCAGTTGTTTTAAAAATCTTGTTTCTTCACTGCTCTTATGAGCAATGGTCAAATTGTATAGAGAAGAAAAGGAAAATATCTGTTAGATTTTGAAATTGGACACTACTATTGTACCACATGCATTGCTTCTCTGCTGAAGTAAGAGTTTGTAAGTCTCAGAATTGTGTGACACCATGATTATTGCTGAAGATTCTGTAATATGCTTCTTGTCTAGTCTTGTATTCAATTTTACAAGCTCTGATGGCTTTTCTTTTTTGCTAGAGTTATTACACCATCAATTAGAAACAGGACAATCTTTAGAAAATCACATTTTTATTTCCTAGAGTATGCATTTCGGACTTTGAGTCTCTTTTCAACTCTTTGTGATGTAACTGTTTAGGAAATAATGCATACAAGTTAACATAAAATTTTTGCACTGTTACAAATTTTGTAAAAATTTTTAACTTACATGGTTATGAGAAGCACAGAAATGGTAACGATTTGATAACATATGGATGATGTAATAGCAGTGAGAGGCAAATAATATACATTCAAAAAAAAAAAAAATAGAGAGAGAGAGAGATCATTTGAAGATATAAAACCCCATAGGAGATTATTTTAAGAGTGCTGTACATTTTTATCACAATTCTAATTTTGTTTTCTACAGTCATTTACTCAGCAACACTGCAATTTGATACAACTTTTTCCATGCAACATATTTTTGAATTTGTATATTTAATAATTTGAATATAGATTTTTTTTTTTAGAATGATGCCAAAAGATGTGCTCCTACTTAAGTTATGTATTTTTGTGTCAAACTCAGTTTTGGCAATTTGTTGGATATAATGTTTTCCTGTGCAAGGGCTCAGTTGTTTTCAGATGGTCTTTATTAGACTATACATAAATTAAGTTCACATTGGGCTCCATCTATTATGAACCAGCTACTCCATTGTGGATCTGATCAAAACACACGACAGGCATGGGGAGGGAGAAAGCCTCTTAGTACCCTTGGGACAAAATGCCAAATCTGAATTAAGTAGGGTACCAATCTTAAAATATTATTTGAATACTTATTACTGGATGATTTATTTTATTAATAATAATGTTTATCTGCTACCAACTTCAACAACATCTAGTGTAATTCCAACATTTTAAACTGTTGTAAGTAAATAATCATTAAAACAAAGCAGTGGTTAAGACTGATAACATGAAATCATTACAAGTTACTGTTCTCAGCCACATGTTGAGGCTGATAGCATGAAAAGAAAGCTTTGCTTTTTACCCTTTGTGCCCTGTTGGCATTAGCTAAGAGGGCCTTTTTTTACATGCTCCATAATAAAGGCAGGTGGTGGTGATGGATGGTGTCCAATATATCTGAATAGATCTGTTCCAAAAATTCCTGATGTTACCTGTTTAGATCCCAGATCTCCCAGACCAAGTAGAATGTGACACTTAACCATCTGGGCCATCTGGCCTGTAACTAAATAGAGCAAATCCTCTGCAGAGGAACGAAAGCCACTTGAATGTTTTTAAATATATATTATTTTTTTAAATTGAATATATTGTTTCATTTTATTATGATTTTTCATGGAATATATTTTACATCATATGAAAGAGACTGTGATATTAGGTGTTTTTTTTGTAGTTTCAAAAAGTTTTGAGTATGATTTTAAAGGTACAGTTACACCACAGATAAAGCATACAGATTTAAATTATATATGATACAATTATATTCAAACTTCAAGGATTCCTTGAGCATATTTTTAGGAAATTTTTATTATTTTAACAAAAATATAGAAAGATAAAAGTTTCTAAACTGTGTGTTATCTAATTATAGGAAGCTTTATTATTTAAAAAAAAATAAACAACTTTGAAGTCTTGGTTATTTCTTATTTCTTTAAACTTTATTGCTTAGGATTTGACAAAAATAAAACTCAGGCTTGAAGACTCTTAAAGAGCACTGATGTTTATTAAGATTCAATTATCATGTTTTTCCTCAATTATATTCAGCTCTTCTGGTAGATAAACTAACTGTAGTAATTAAATTGTCAAACAATTCAATTAAACACTTTCCTTACTTTGAAAATATTAAAGAAGGAAAGTGTTTAAATTATTGTTCATAATTTGCAGTCTGAAGGTAGTTTTAAATATTTCAATAGGAAAATGAATGTAATAATATATGAACAATACATGCATTTTAAAATATTTTATTGCCAAAATATATGGGAATAATGCAAATTCCTCACTGTAGAGCAATGAAGTAATCATAAATGACTTACTGGTGGACCCATCTTTTGGATTTCTATGGAGGTTTTAGTCTATTGCTTTTTCCTTTGAACCAATATTGACTACTTAAAACAATTTGTGTAGAAGATGAATATTTCAATGTATCTGTCTAGGGACAAATATGCATATGGCCAATATAGGAAAATTAGTCTCGTCAAATTTGTTATCCAGAGTGTATAGCCTAATTCTTTTTGAGCCTGTTTATAATAGGGGCAGATGAGCCAGTAGTGGAGTGTAGTCTTAATTTTCCTACAATATATAGAGTCAGGCTGGAGAAGACTGGAGTTTCCTTGGACAATTGAGTAAGTTGAATGGAGCTGTTTCTGTGATGATGATGACAAAGCAGTGTTTCCACCTGACATGATGTGCTTAATTCATAAACCCAATGTTTGAAAGGTTGGAGGTGGTCTCTGCCTTTATTTCAGAGTGCATTCAACCATGTCCATCAAGTCATGCTTTGTCTGTTAGAGGATGTTTCATAGGTCACGTGGCAGGTTAGTCTGCCATATTGAGTCAGATAATGTGCCTGAGTGGGCTGGTATCTAAATTATGACTATAGGACAGAGATGGTGAACCTATGGCACATTGAAGAAATCATCTTGCACATAATGTATTATATGATTTT